ATGTCACATACCTCCTCTTGCTTTACCTTCCACCATGTGTAAAAGTTCCCTGAAGCCTCCTCCCCAGAAGCTGAGCAGATGCCCACATCATGCTTCCAATACAGTCTGCAGAACCATAAGCCAATTAAACTTCTTTTTTAAAATAAATTATTTCTTTATAACAACACAAGAACAGCCTAACACAGCCCCTGACACCACAACTGATAGTTTATGATAACAAGACAATGCAGGGTGGAGCTGGCCACACTTGGTAGCCTAGGTGTGTTTAGAGGTTGGGGGCTTTGGATAATCTGAATACCAATTCACCTAGAGACTGAGTAAAACCTCATAGGCAATACTTCATGCATATTGTTAAACATCCATCCATCTATATTGTTACACATCTATGTATAGGGTTGCACATCCTTAGAAAGCTAACAAGTCCTGAGGAAAAGTTTCACATTTCAAGTGCTCCAAGACTCGGTCTTATTACGTAAGTATAGTGTGGGGGTGATACAGTTTGGCTGTGTCCCCACCCAAATCCCACCTTGCACTGTAACTCCTACAATTCGCACGTTGTGTGAGGAACCTGGCGGGAGGTGACTGAATTACAGGGGCGAGTCTTTCCTGCACTGTTCTTGTGGTAGTGAATGAGTCTCACAAGACCCAGTGGTTTTAAAACTGGGAGTTTCCCTGCACTAGCTCTCTCTTTGCATGCTGCTATCCATGTAAGACATGACTTGCTCCTCCTGGCCTTCCGCTGCCATGATTGTGAGGATTCCCCAGACATGTGGAACTGTAAATCTATTAAACCTTTTTTCTGTATAAATTGCCCAGTTTCAGGTATGTCTTTATCAGCAGCGTGAAAACGAACTAATACAGTAAACTGGTACTCACAGAGTGGGGTGCTGCTGAAAAGACACCTGAAAATGTGGAAGCCACTTTGAAACTGGGTAACAGCAGAGGTTGGAGCAGTTTGGAGGGCTCAGATGTCGAAAGGAAAATGAGGGAAAGTTTGGAATTTCCTAGAGACTTGTTGAATGGCTTTGATGAAAATGCTGACAGTGATATGAACAATAAGATCCAGGCTGAGGTGGTCTCAGATGGAGATGAGTAACTTGTTGGGAACTGGAGCAAAGGTGACTCTTGTTATGTTTTAGCAGACAGACTGCAGCATTTTGTCCCTGCCCTAGAGATTAGTGGAACTTTGAACTTGAGAGGGATGATTTAGGATATCTGGCGGAAGTAACAGATTTAACACAGGTGACTTGTGTG